CTTTCCCTCTCTATCTCCTCTCTCTCTCTCTCTTTCTCTCTATCTCCTCTCTCTCTCTCTCTCTCTCTCTCTCTCTCCCTCACAGATTGAACAGGAGCGAATCGATAAAGTCTGGCCCAAGCTGCGCGTGCTGGCTCGGTCCTCGCCCACCGACAAGCACACCCTGGTTAAAGGTGAGGCTCCGGGTTGTTGTTACTCTAAATGCTTCTGTTCTGACATTTTTTACAATCTGTTTGGGGTTGAGTTTTTTTTTTTTTTTTTTTGCTCGAATGTGGAATATCTTTTAGAAGGTAATCCAACATGTCAGCTTTAAAACCAGGAGTGGTGTCAAACTGTAAAGTGAGATTATAGGCGGCCATTTTCCCACACACAGCTTTGCCGTGGCTTTTTTGTATTGATTCAATTTTATTTCTATAACACCACATCACAACCACAGTTTTCCAAACAGAGCAGGTCAAACCCGACTCTGAAGTTATTTACAGAAGAACAACAATTCCCAGAGAGGTTTGGTTCGTTTTTCTCTCTCGACGAGGGAAAGTTTTCCCACTTTGATTCAGTTATCATCTTTTCCTCGTACATAGAAAATTAACAAGAAGCAGATCCCTATGGAGTGAAAGTACAAATCAAAGCTCAAACAGGACAGACTAGAAAGAACCTGAATGGGTTAACCAACAATTAAACCCTGAAGGTTTCTACCATGAAGTGACTTTATTGAAACACAAACCATATTGAGACCTAAATGCAGAATTTTTTACTCGTTCAGCACATAATGGAATTCAGTTTTTATATATAGCATTAGTCTCATTGTAGCTAAAATATCTATAGCTTAAATGTCTCTATATTAGAATGAACCCCATTGGGTTAGCCTACAATTAAACCCGGAAGGTTTCTACCATGAAGTGACTTTATTGAAACACAAACCATATTGAGACATAGATGCTAACCTAAATGTAGAAATCTGTACTCATCCAGCACATAATGGAATTAAGTTTTTACACATATTAGTCTAATTGTAGCTCAAATATCTATATTATAATGAACCCGAATTGGTTAACCAACAATTAAACCCGGCAGGTTTCTACCATGAAGTGACTTTATTGAAACACAAACCATATAGAGACATAGACGCAGAATTCTTTATTAAACCAGCAAATAACGGAATTAAGTTTTTACACATATTAGTCTAATTGTAGCTCAAATATCTATATTAGAATGAACCCCATTGGGTTAAACAACATTAAACCCTGAACGTTTCTTCCATGAAGTTTATTTTTTTTTAAACTCAAACCATATTGAGACATAGACGGAGAAATCTTAAATCATTCAGCAAATAATGGAATCAAGTTTTTATATATATCATTAGTCTCATTGTGGCTCAACCTATCTATATCCATCTAAAAAGAGTAAATGTGATTTACTGTACAGGATTTTTTGTTCTGAAGGCCGTTAAACCCCCGACTCTGTGTGTCCAGGCATCATCGACAGCACCGTGTTAGAGCAGAGGCAGGTCGTCGCGGTAACGGGGGACGGGACCAATGACGGGCCGGCTTTGAAGAAGGCCGATGTGGGCTTCGCCATGGTAACCGGATATGTTATTCACCTTTTAATGTGTATGTTGTGTTGAAGCCCTTCGTTTGTGTTAGTGACAAACAGG